GTCATCTCCTGGGTCACAGACTGAGTTGGTGGTTTGGTTGTAAGTACAGAATCCTAAGAGAGTCCTGGTGCATTCATAGTGTGTATAGAATAATAAAGTTTTAACTACTGTGTTTCTATCCATGTGGTATGTATGCAATGTGGATATCTTTCTTTAAATTGTATTTGTTTTTGCTTAGCCTTAAGTACCGCTATTAGTAAAGCAAGCAAACAAACAAACAATATTTTTTTACTAGACATGGGCATGTAAGTTTTTTCTCTAGACAGAGAGACTGGGCAATAATGATAGCATAGTAACAAGGCAATCAACAACAGTAAGATAGCAATCAAACTTAAAATTTCTATCCACATTTACTTATCTGATGACAATACTTAAGTGTCGGCTGAGTGTAGACTACTCAGCTTCCAGTGTGACTAGAGCGGGGCTTACTATTTTCTCAAGCTTCTGCCATGTGTAGACAGGTCACTTCTGAAGTGACCAGAGCAGGGCTGTTATCTTTTCCACTGACAATGTGGTCTCATCACAGGATCAGCCAGGTTGGATGGTCTGGGTCCTGTTGGCTGGTCTACTGGTCCTAGACTGCCAGTTTTAGCCAACTGTGGTGGATTTAAGGCATGATACCTGCAACTTTAACAGCAGTGGGAGTGGACAAAATTACAGTGTGGGGCCCAACCTATATGGGTCCCAGAGTAGTTGGATTCCACTTAACTCAAACAGACTCCTAAGGTTTGAAAAAGTGTGCTGAGTCTGCCAGATTTATAGGCATTTTTTTTTCTTACACCTAACCATGAATCTTTTGCATAGCCAGCCCTAAGTCTTACATCTGCCTTTTTAAAGTTAATTCCCTTATTTCCTGTAGGTCATCTTTAACCTGATTTATAATTATCTCACAGGGCAAATACCCAGTTTGTTTTGTGGGGCTGCGCCTGACTCAGAGGAGGACCACGGGCGAGACCTGTTCCTACCTTAGATGAGTTTCTTGACAAAATTTCTTCAACAGCTGCTTGAGTGTCCAGTTCAGATGCTCCACTTTTCCTGAGCTCTGCAGTTAGTGGGCTGTGCGTAACTTCCACTTCATTTTTAATAGTCAAGTTAAGTTCTGAACTATTTCAGCCACAAATGCTGGTCCATTGTCTGATCCTAGAGTTAGAGGCAGTTCAAATCTGGGGATAGTGTCCCTTAACAACACTTTGGTCACCTCTTGTGCTTTCTCTGTCTGGGTGGGGAAGGCCTTGACCCATCCTGAAAAGGCACAAACAAACACCAACATGTACCGATAACCCCCAACTTGGGGCAGTTTGGTGAAGTCCATAAGCAGGTTTTCACGGGGCATGGCTCTTGTTTCTTGAATTCTCGGGGGCTGGTTAGGCCCTTGTCAAGGGCTGTTCTAAGCACAAGTCAAACGCTGCTCACAAACAGTTTGAGTGATGGCAGTGAGCCATGGCACATAGAAATGACGCTCTAATAATGTCTCTAGTGCTGTCTTTCTTATGTGAGTTCCTTAGTGGAACTGTTTCACAAATCTGGGGGCTACCATCTCAGGAATGGCTAGTTTTCTATTGGAGAACTTCCACCATCCTCCTTCAATGTAATTCCCATTTTCCTGGGCAACCAAGCCCTTTTATTAGGAGTGTTCCTTGGAGTCTCTGGGAGAAGAATCTCCAGGAGGAGAGGCATAGCCAAGGCTTCCTCTTTAGAAGGCAGATATGTCATTGCAGCCTGCTTTGCCATTTTGTCTGCCTTTCTGTTTGTTTGTTTGTTTGTTTGTTTTTGGCATCTAATGTTCCTGCCCTCTGGTGCCTCTTGCAGTGCATTACTGCTACTTGTTTTGAGGCTCATACAGCATCCAAGAGCTGTAGAATTTTTCCTTATACTTTATTTCTTTACTTTCAGCAGTTAAGAGTCCTCTTTCTTTGTAAATAGTCCCATGAACATGCAAAGTAGCAAAAGCATATTTGGAATCTGTGTAAATATTTGCCTTCTGGTCTTTCGCTAGCCAGAGAGCTCTTGTTAGAGCTATTAGCTTTGCCTTTTGAGCAGAAGTTCCCATCGACAAAGACTGCACCTCTACTACAAAGTCAAAAGTCATCACTGCATACCTCGCTCAGTGGACCCCCTCTAGTATGAAGCTGCTTCCATCAGTAAAATATTTAACGTCCAGGTCCCTGAGGTGCCGATCTGTCAAATTTCTCCAGCTTGAGAACACTTCATTTACCATATCCACACAGCAGTGAAGGGGGGCCTCCTGGCATTGACTCGATATGAAGCAAGGTAGCCGGGTTGAGGGTATTTAGAGTTTCTAAAGTTATGCCGGGACTGTTACATAAGAGCCCTTGGTATTGGGTTATTTTCGGATTTGATAACTAATAGTGGCCCCTTAAGTCCATGAAAATTATAACTCCCATAACCCAGTGTTGTACCCAGATTGTTAGTTGTTGTCTTAAAGTCAGTTTATTAGCTTCCTGTGCCAGCAGAGCTGTGGTAGCTACTGCTTTAAAACAAGGAGGCCATCTAGGTGCCACAGAATTCAATTGCCTGGATAAGTACGCCACCAGGCAATGCTATGACCTTATGACTTGAGTTAAAACTTCTATGGCCATTCCCTTTTTCTCACAGACATATAAAAGAAAGGCTTACTTAGATCTGGCAGTGCTAAAGCTGGGGCCTAAGTTAAGGCTTCTTTGATTTTTTTTAAAAAGCCTTCTCCTGGTGGGCCTCCCAGAGAAGGGACTCCTTCTCTCCCGGCTTTGTGGCTTAGCCATGAGTGATAAATTTGGAATCTAAATGTGTCAGAACCTTGCTGCCCCTAGGAACTCTTTTACCTGTTGCTGGGTGATTGGAGTGGGAAACGCACAGCCAGGTTTCGTTCACTACCCTTGGCTTACATAGAAGCCTAAACACTGGACACTTTCAAAGCAAAATTGAGCCTTTTCCCCTGACACTTTATATTCTGCCTTGTACAGCAGGTGCAGGAGGTGTTGGGTTCCTCCTGGGTGCAGCAGCCCTCGGCCAGTGGCTTTTTCATACCACTGCCCTGACCATTTTCTTTATTGTTATTCTCTGAACATTCATTCTTCTAGCGTCCTTTCCCTTTTGCACTGTGCACATTGATTTCTCTCTAGCCTCAGCCAGCTTTTAAATTTCTGTCCAGAGGGGCCTCTTCCATGACTGCATTTATGCTTGCATTCACGCCTCTTTGCAAAGCTAGCTTCTCTTCCTGTAAGAGCTGCTGTTAGCAAATTAGCCTTTCTTTTTTTTCTTTTCTTCTTCTTTTTTTTTTTTTTTTTGGTGAAACGGAGTCTCGCTCTGTCCACCGGGCTGGAGTGCAGTGGCTGGATCCCGGCTGACTGCAAGCTCCGCCTCCCGGGTTCACACCATTCTCCTGCCTCAGCCTCCTGAGTAGCTGGGACTACAGGCGCCGGCCACCAGGCCCGGCTGATTTTTTTGTATTTTTAGTAGAGATGGGGTTTCACCGTGTTAGCCAGGATGGTCTCGATCTCCTGACCTCGTGATCCGCCCTCGGCCTCCCAAAGTGCTGGGATTACAGGCGTGAGACACCGCGCCCGGCAAATTAGCCTTTCTTAAGCCTCTGATCAGCCTCCTTCTTTGCCTCCTGATCTCGGTTAATGTACACCTTGGTAGCCACTTTAATATGCCGAGTAGCCAAATTTCTGCCTGATATTTCCCTGGGCCTGCCTTATAAATGCCGTATTCACCATGTGCTGATTTTCAGCAGCCTCAGTGTTAAACGGAGTGTACAACTGAAATGTCTCACAAAATCTTTCATAAAACTGGCTTGGACTTTTATCTACACCTTGCAGCACCTCTGAGATTTTTCCTGTATTGATTGCCTTTTTCTTGCCATCGCTCAACCCTTGCAGAAGCGCTTCACAGCACTTTTGCAGGCACTATAGCTGAGTTGCCTCATCTGGGTCCTACTGGGGGTCTTTTTGTTTCCTTGAGAAGAAGGTATTTGCATAACTCAGGCGCGACCAGACCTGAGACGACAGCCTGTCTGACTTTCTGAGCTTCCACCTTAACTTCCCGGAGTGAGGGCTCAGACTTCCCCTTCTGGGGTATAGGCTGGGGCATAAATCCACCTGAGCCTGGCTGCTCAGGGGCAGTTATAGCCTTGGTAAAGGAGAGTAGATTGGAACATATGGAAAAGGGGCCCCCATTCCTTCTGATGGTTTTTGCAAAACCGATTTTTCCTGTAGCTTTCCTTTTTCTTCGTAGCTGCCTGTGCAGCCAGTTGATTTTTCTCGGACTTCCTTTTTAACTCTGCCGGTGAAGCTGCTTTCTCGTTTTTGTAATACGCTGCCAGGCAAGCCTGCATCTAGCCATGAGTCAATATAAGGAAAATTTGGTCTGAATGCCCTGACTGATCTCCTGCTCCGGTCACCATTTTAAATACGCGGCCAATTGTTTCCTTATCTATAGTACCTCTGGCAGGTTAGCCAACACTAAATGAGGCCAATTCTAATTTACAAAGAGTTTTCAGCATCTGAGGGGTTAACTTAACTCCCTAATTCCCTGCAAAGCCTTTCTTAAAGTTCTTTGACATATTTTCTAATTCTGATGGGGTGGGTTTTGACGCTTTTTCTCCCATCACGCGCATTCACTCTTCCTTTCGTTTTGGACTGATTGGAGGATTGGACCTGGTTGGTCCTATACTGCTTGGAGCATACAGCCTCTACTAAGAGACCTGCAGCCCCCCACTAAGAGACCTGCAGCCCCCCATTCGCCACTCCTTGCGTTGGTTCTTCTCCGAACTGTCTCTTTCACATGAACTCACACACTTCCCCACTCTTAATTCCCTTCCCTCGTTGGGGCATCGAGCCACTCTCACTGCCTCCAGTTTCCTTTCCTAACTGACTAAGCGAGCCACTCTCACCTCCTGTGTCAGTTACCTTTAGTCAAAAGTGGCGAGCCACTCACCACTTTCAGTTTCCTTTCCTGACCCACCCGTGAGCCTCTCTGGCGCTCTGTCGGTTAGGGTGTAAGTTTCATTCGAATCAACGAGCCACTTCTGTTATTCCCAGTCCCTCTGGGTCGGATTAGTCGTCACACCCTGGAAGGTGATCAGCCTCCCCTTCTGTCCTTTGGGATGGGTCCTGTCTCAGGACCCAAACCTTACCACAGTTCAGATGTCTGCCCGCGCTTCCTCTTACTATTCAGCAGTCCCCTTTACCGGTTCCATTGCGCTGTCGGGATGAACACCAGGACACGGGAAGGCCGATCCCCTTTGGGGCTGAAGCTCTCCCGGTGGCTCCAAGGGTCCCAGACCTCCCCTGTCCCAGGGCCTCAGTCCCATAGGCAAAGGAGACAGTAACCTGCTGTCTCTGGTCCAGGGTTTCGGCACCAAAATGTTGCAGGAAGGAACTGGAGAGACCGATCGGGATGCAGGAGGGCTTTAATTTTAGGTGTACAGGGGCTCAGCGGACAAGTATCCTGAAAGTCTGAGCCCTGAACAGAGAAAGCGAGCAACTTTTAAGTGTTTGGGGGCGGGAAAAACATGAAGCAGGAAGCAGGTTTACAGAAGTAAGAACAAAAGCAGTTAATCATTCAGGCCATTTCTTACATCTTAGGAGAAACATGAGTTGCAACTTAACTTTCACTTATCTATCTTGTGGCCTTGCAACTGCACAGCAAGAAAAACAGGGACTTACAGAACTTACAAAATATGTGGGAAAGTGATATAGTTAATGTTTCACAGACCCTTAGAGGTCTTGCAGAGGAGCAGTTAATGTTCTTTTTATAATGTTTCTTCAGGGGGTTACTTCACGCCTATTCTAACCTAAACTTAAACTGTAAATTTAGTTTCTTATTAATTTTCGACATTAACACCTGTAATCCCAGTACTTTGGGAGGCCGAGGTGAGTGGATCACAAGGTCAGGAGATTGACACCATCCTGGACAACATAGTGAAACCCCGTCTCTACTGAAAATACAAAAAATTAGTTGGGTGTGGTGGTGCATGCCTGTAGTCCCAGCTACTCAGGAGGCTGAGGCAGGGGAATCATTTGAACCCAGGAGGTGGAGATTGCAGTGAGCCAAGATGGCACCACTGCACTCCAGCCTGGTGACAGAGCAAGACTCAGAAAGAAGGAAGGAAGGAAGGAAGGAAGGAAGGAAGGAAGGAAGGAAGGAAGGAAGGAAGGAAGGAAGAAAGAAAGAAAGAAAGAAAGAGAGAAAGAAAGAAAGAAAGAAGAGAGAGAGAAAGGAAGGAAGGAAGGAAGGAAGGAGAGAGAAAGAGAGAGAAAGAGAGAGAAAGAAAGAGAGAGAGAAAGAGAGAAAGAAAGAGAGAACGAAAGAGAGAAAGAAAGAAAAGTACTCTATTTTCAGTTTCTTTTTGTTTTTTGTTTTTTCAAACATGGAGGGAGGGGAAGGTGGGGAGGCTCCAAAGGTGTCCCTGGACGGTGGGCCAGCCACTCCCACTGTACACACAAGATTAGTACTGTGTTTGGATTTCAATAAAATTCACAGGTTTGTAATCACAGAAATTATAATATTTTTTTCTAATAGAAGTGATGAAGCAATAGAAATAAGTTGTTAACATGAGTTTAAAAGAAACTTTGTTTTCATTAAAGAACATTTAAAATTACATTGTAAGTGACTGATTAGAAATTCCAATCTATTTCATTTTAGTAACTTAAAAGACTTAATATCCTTAAATTATTTCCTCAGAAAAAGATTCTTATGTGTTTCTGAAACTTTCAGAAATTGTAGACTACTTAATTGATGATAATGTAAATGCAGACCACAAATTTTCTATATAGTTATAGGCTCATCTTAGCTTTTAATATAAAAATTTAATAGAGTTCAAAAGTAAAATTAGTGGCTCTTTTAAGTCATGAGAGGGATATCATTGTAAGAATCCATTTACCAAAGTATTTGTGTTAGGCTTAGTAATAAGTGCTTTAAACCAAAAATCATGTTTTACATACTATCTAAGGGTAAGCAAGAGTGTTTTTTAAATTCCTCTTTATTTCTACTAAATTAGAAAATTCAAAGCTAAAATGTTAGATCAGAAATGAAAACAAGCATTAGGCAAGGGAATGTTGGGTATAATGGTTGAGATTAAAACTCAGTATCAGGTGATTTCTAATTGTATCCCAGTTCTGCTTCTTATGGGCTGTATGACCTGAATACAGTTTCTTGACCTCTCTGTGCATGACTCTTCAGCTGTACAGTAAGGATAATAGTGCCTAAATCCTAGAGCTTAGGTAAAATTAAAGCAATTAATGCAAATAGAGGTGCCCAAATAGCACCCAGCACATAGCTAGGGTACAGTAAATTTATTAGCTCCTAATTGTTAATTCTGTTAGATCATGCTCAGTGTTAAACCTGAAAACAAGGTGGCCACATTAGTGGTTTGTAACCCGTGTTTATTCTAATCTAATTCTAATTTAGTCAGTCTGAAGATATAATAGTAGTTAAATGTTTTTAATACCACCATTGGTATATTCCCATATATTAACATACAGCATGGATATAAATATTATGATGAGATTTCTCATTGAGTACTGTTCTTTAGCACTCCAGTAACACTAGATAAATAAGCACTTAAATACCAAGTGTTTGTCAATTTTAAAATTAGAAAAGAAGGAAAATTGTTTCCTCATTTACTTGTTTAATGCATTTCTTATTGCCAAGTAATTATTTATGTTGATTTGATAAATTTAAATGTAGTTGAGAAATATATTTAAAATAACTTTTTTCTTTAACAAGTAAAGAAAATCATTTATTTAGACATTTAGAAAAAATTTTACTCTAAACAGTTGCTTTAGAGTCTGTCTTTTAAAGTATTATATTATTTTGAGCATTAAAAATCAAGATATTTTATTCTTGAGTGTTGGGTTCAGACTATTCCTAATATTAAAAATTTACTTACCTACATCACTAAATGAGCAAGCCATTTTCAACAAAAGGTATATGTATATGGTTTCCAAAATTAAAAGATGAAAAAGCACTTTTTTCTCTGGCCCAATTTATTTATTTATTTATTTTGAGATGGAGTCTTGCTGTGTTGTCCAGGCTGGAGTGCAGTGGCGTGATCTTGACTCTCTGCAACCTCTGCCTCCTGGGTTCAAGTGATTCTCCTGCCTCAGCCTCCCCAGTAGCTGGTATCACAGGCACACACCACCACATCCAGTTAATTTTTGTATTTCTAATAGAGAAATACTGTGCCTGGCCTACTCTTAGTTATTTTTTAATTAATTTTTTTTTTTGAGACAGAGTCTCACTTTATCACCCAGGCTGGAGTACAGCAATGTGATCTCAGCTCAAGGCAACCTCTGCTTCCTGGGTTCAAGCAGTTCTCACCTCAGCCTCCTGAGTAGCTGGGATTACAGGCGCCCTCCACCACGACTGGCTAATTGTATTTTTAGTAGACACAGGGTTTCACCATCTTGACCACGCTGGTCTTGAACTCTTGATCTCGTGATCCACCTGCCTCAGCCTCCCAAAGTGCTGGGATTACAAGTGTGAGCCACCCTGCCTGGCCTTAGTTATTTTTAAATATACAACACATTATTGTTCACTATAGTCACCCTGCTGTGCAATAGATCTCAAGCCCCCCCCCCCGCCTTTTTTTTAGACAGGGTTTCACAGCTTTTGCCCAGACTGAAGTGCAATGGCACAGTCTCGGCTCACTGCAACCTCTGCCTCCCGGGTTCAAGCGATTGTCCTGCCTCAGCCTCCAGAGTAGATGGGATTACAGGCACCCTCCAACATGCCTAGCTAATTTTTGTATTTTTAGTAGAGATGGGGTTTCACCATGTTGGCCAGGCTGGTCTCGAACTCCTGACCTCAAGGGATCAGCCCGCTTCAGCCTCCCAAAGTGCTGGGATTACAGGTGTGAGCCACCGCACCTGGCCTCAAAATCTTTTGACTGCTGTTTATTTGAAACTTTGTAGCCTTTGATAAATATCTCTCTATTTCCCACCATCTCCAGCTTCTGGTGACCATTATTCCAGTTTCTACTTTTTTGAGATACATTTTAGTTTACATATAAATGAGATCATGCAGTATTTGTCTTTCTGTGTCAGGCTTATTCCATCTAGCATAATGTCCTCCAAATTTATCTATATTGTTTCAAATGATAAGGTTTACCCGTTTATTAAGACTGAATCATATTCCATTGTGTATCTATACCACATTTAAATAAAAATTTAAATGCATTCATCTGTGGGTTGAAAAACTCATGTGTTATGAAAGGTTATTTCTGTGTTAAAACATGTATTGGCTAGGCACAGTGACTCACACCTGTAATCCCAGCACTTTGGGATGCCGAGGCGGGCGGATCACGAGGTCAAGAGATTGAGACTATCCTGGCCAATATGGAGAAAAACCTGTCCCTACTAAAAATACAAAAATTAGATGGACATGGTGGCTCAGTCTGTAGTCCCAGCTCCTCGGGAGGCTGAGGCAGGAGAATTGCTTGAACTTGGCAGGCGGAGGTTGCAGTTAGCCAAGATCATGCCACTGCACTCCAGCCTGGCCACAGAGCAAAACTCCGTCTCAAGCAAGCCAACAAAATGCATATATTAATGTAATTCAGCATACACATATCTTATTAATAATAGCTAACTTGTACTGAGCAGTAACCATAACACAATATATGTCTGTAATGAATTTATTTGCCACGGTAACTTAATAACATTGGTATTATTGCTATTTTCATTTTACAGAGGAAGTAACAGAGCCACCAAGAGAAATGACTGGCTGACAATAGCAGAGCCAGGAATAAAACACAAGAAACTTTGTCTCCAGAGATAACACCCTTGAGTACAACAATAACAACCGTTCAAACAAAAAAAATTTTTTAACAGTCATTTTTAATAAAAATTAACAATAATTGAATAATTGGATACATTGTCATTGTTATATGTGTGTGTGAATATAAAAAAAAAGTTACCTAAAGGAGAAATAATTTAAGCCAGAAAAAAGATAAGTTAGTTAATATTTGTAATAAATGTAATTGGAAAGTATTTAATTATTATTTGCAGATGATATCTTTGTTTACTTAGATAACAAAAGTAACTAAAAGACTGTTTTAAAAGTCTATTGAGACGGTAGGCAAAATTATAAGATAATCCCCAGGATTTCCAGTCTGTTGCACACCTGCTGTGCAATTCTTTTTATCTGAGTGTAAAAATATGTGTGAATGTGGTGGGAAATCTCTCATAAAATTTGGTTACTCATGTATTGTCTTTGTGTTTGTCAAAAGACACATTATCCTGATTGGGCTGAACTTAATCAGGGGTGTTTTTAAGAGAAAGAGATACATCATAGAAAAACACTCCTGCTGACCTGGAAGTGAATTCTAATTGGGTCGTGTTGTAAGTACTTATAGTGGCCACACGACAGAAAATATATTTGTATATTGTCATCATTCCTGCCTCTTGCATGTTGCTTGTAGTAGAGAGGGCAGGAGGATCCCATGGCAGAGGAATAAAAGAGGTTCTTATTCCTGCAAGAAATAATTACCTCTCATCTGAGCTAGATTAAGATAAACAGAGAAGACGACAACATGACTATGTCAATGGCAGGAGAAAGAAAATCGGGCTGAAAGGGCTCACTGGCATCATGGAGCAATATTTAGTAAGCTATAGTGAATGATCAGCCTCTGAGATATCAATAGTCCACCAAGAAGGCTGAACTTATTCTTATTCTGATTAAATCAGCATGTGTGCCCTATTCTGGTTGCCCAGTTTTACCACCATTACAGAAATTACCGTGGAGACCAGTGGGTACCCTCCTAGAATTAACATTATCATGAAAAAGCATACCTAATTGTTTTTACAGTTGAAAAATCTTGAAAGCCTAATAAATGTATTAATAATGAACTTATCCTCTGATAATTTTAGAGGAATTCTACTATACTGTAATACAATACTGAATTTTAAACACCTATATGCATATGCATATATTTCTTTTTTTGTTGTTTGGTTTTGGAAATAGAGTCTCACTCTGTCGCCCAGGCTAGAGTGCAGTTGTATGATCTCGACTCACTGCAACCTCCATCTCCTAGGTTCAAGCAGTTCTTCTGCTTCAGCCTCCAGAGTGGCTGGAACTACAGGTGCACACCACCACACCTGGTTAACTTTTGTATTTTTAGTAGAGATGCAGTTTTACCACGTGGGCAAGCCTGGCCTCAAACTTCTGACCTCAAGTGATCTGCCCGCCTTGGCCTCCCAAAATACTGGGATTACAGGTGTGAGCCACTGCACCTGGCTATAATATAAATGTTTCTTGACTTCATGACCGAATATGTAGATAGTTTCCCTTAGATTAACATGATAAAGTAACAATTAGAGAAAACATTTGAAATGAGATAAAATTAAAACCACATTTTTTCAATGGCTTGGCATAATTGCCATGCTTTTTGAAATGGCCAGATTACTAAATAGAAGCAAAGACAAGATTTTGCCTTTGCTCACTTATTGACCTTTTAAAATCTAAAATCCTGGCTAATGAATTTGAATGGGGTATTTTTTAGGTGTCTTCCTAGGATTTCCAAGGCACTACAAAAAGAATTTTGGTAGGCAGAAAAATGCACTCAACATAAACACATTGCTTTTTTTAAAATTTACTTTATTATTGAAAAGTTGAAGATTGCAAATCTAGTCTATTAATTTAGAGTTAATAACAAAAGATTTTTCAGCCAAGCAAATAATTGTGTAAAACTAATGGGTAATGAATGCTCTTAGCTGACAAATAATAGTATGACTAGATTCAGTAAGTATCTAGTCATGCAAATGATAGCCCAATTAAATTAAGACCCTAAGAGGTGCATGTGGAAAGCATTGATGTGCAGTATGGTGCACCTTCACTCAGCGCCTTTATCTGCCTGTTTACAGAAATACCAGTTTCCCCTGAATGACTCAGGGTAAACGCTAAACCATATTGAAAACATGGTTAACACATTTCTTCCATATTGTAAAGAAATTTCATGAATCTTACTCTGCCTCAGAAAGGCTTTTAGTAAAAGAGTATTCATTTATAGTACTATGTTTGGATGTATTAAAAATTTCAATATTCCAGATAATTCAGAGACATTTAAATGTCAACAAAATTCCGTAAAACATATTTGAATGAGATCAAGTCTTCCTAGTTAAACATTTTATTTTATCAGTAAATTTAGACAAAAACAGAAAATCAGTACTTTGGGTCAAATAACAATGTTTGGCATGTGAGTATCACCTAAACAAGTGCTCTTCATCATTATCATTAAAGTAGCAATGGCACCACGTGCTTTCCTGGGACCCACTGTCTGTTTTCCACTGATATAAAGTGAAGAAGGCATTGAAATAGCGAAGGGAGGCCGGGTGCGGTGGCTCACGCCTGTAATCCCAGCACTTGGGAGGCCAAGGAGGGCGGATCACGAGGTCAGGAGATTGAGACCATTCTGCCTAACATGGTGAAACCCTGTCTCTACTAAAAATACAAAAACTTAGCCAGGCGTGGTGGCGGGTGCCTGTAGTCACAGCTACTCAGGAGGCTGAGGCAGGAGAATAGCGTGAGCCTGGAAGGCGGAGCTTGCAGTGAGTCTTGCAGTGGCACCTGCAGTGAGCTGGAGTGCCTGCACTCCAGCCTGCCCGACAGAGCGAGACTCCCTCTCAAAAAGAAAGAAAGAAAGAAAGAAATAGTGAAGGGGGGTGATATAAATTGAATACTTATGTAAAATACAATTTTTAATAAAAAGTAGCATTTAACATTGTACAACTATAGATGAGACTATTAGTATGAGGTCATACTATTTTTACTTCTATTAACAGAATAACTTGATTCACAAAATTCTTATTTCTTTTTTTTTTTTTTTTTTTTTGAGACGGAGTTCACTCTGTCGCCAGCTGAGTGCAGTGCCGATCTAGCTACTCAGCTCCGCCTCCCTTTACGTCATTCTCCTGCCTCGCCTCCCGAGTACTGACTACGCCCCCCCTCCCCGCTAGTTTTTGTATTTTTGTAGACGGGTTCACCGATAGCCAGATTCTCTCCGACTTGGATCCCGTCCGCCTCCAAAGTGCGGATACAGCTTGAGCCACCGCGCCCGGCCTCAAAATTCTTATTTCAAATAATTTTTTCTGCTGTATATTTGTGAGCTTTTTGTCAAATGTTCTCTGAGCTCAATAGAAATCAACAAAATGAATCTTTATTTTTCCACAAGTATTTTATTATTCATGTATATGCTTAGTTTTCTTAAAATACATTAGCTTTTAACGAATGATTTATACTTTATTTTTTCAGTGTGGTGTTTATTGCTGAGAAATGGCTGTTCTACCAGGAAACTGCTATTCTCAGCTCTATCCACATTGACTAATAGTGAGTGGAAGTGATGTGTGGATAAGAAGCAAATGTGTCTTCACTACATTTCTTTTTTTTCTAATTCATTCAGTGAAGAAAGAGGAGGATGCTAAAAGAGGATGAAAGAAAATATAATCCCTGAAAGATCATGATGAAGTCTTCTTAACCAGAAAAAAACCCCACAGGGGATGGTGATGTCAGCAGAAAATATATTATTGTGCTAAGGCTCTGAAATGTCAGTAAACAACCTGCATTGCTTTAACAAATACACTGTTTCTTCAGTTTTGATTCTTGAGGATATGATTCAATTCACTGGTGAATCAAAACTCAGAGGAGAGTAACTTATCTGTTAAGGTAAGTGATGTATGGAAGACTCATTTCGTTAGACCAACATCTTTTCCACCCCCAGCTGCAGGCAATCATCATTCTATTCTCTGTTTCTGTGAGGTTGAATTTTTTTAACTTTACATAGAAATGAGATCGTGTGTGTGTGTGTGTGTGTGTGTGTGTGTGTGTGTGTGTGTTTCCTGTGCTGGCTTATTTTACTTAGCATAATATCCTTTAGGTTTATCAATGTTGTTGCAAATAACAAGACTGCCTTTTTTTTTTAAGGGTTGAATAGCCTTCCACTATGTAAATATACCACATTTTCTAGAAGCGTTTTAATTTTAAAATATAAATTATGACGTTAAATACTTTTATTTTTATGCCTTCTTTTGATTCCTATTTTGGCTGATTGACAAAATATGTTTAAAAAATTTCTTGGATCAAGATTATTGATATGGGAGAGGGGCATGGAAGTGCTAGATAGAGAAGGGTGGGGTTCGTGGTGAGGACTCCGCCCTCAGGCCTGTGCCCACAGACCTAAGTGAGAATAGGCACTATTGTTTTTGCACCCAAATGTTGCATATTTCGAGACCACTCTGGCCCACCATGCCCCCATTCCTGTGCTCATATAAACCAATACCTTAGCGGGCACACACACAAGCAACTGAATGAGAGGAGCAAAAGAACACAGTGGCAGACAGCAGCAGAAAGTGGCAGAGAAAAAGGAAGAGGCATCTGAATGTCGAGAGGAGTTCAGCTGAGAAAGGCCAAATTCCAGGGGAAGATTATCTCCTCTCCCTCCACCTTCCCACTACAGCTCCCCATCCTGCTGAAAGTCACCTCCACTGCTCAATAAAGTCTCTACATTTATCACCTTTCAAACAGTTTGTGTGACCTGCTTCATCCAGAATGCTAGACAAGAATCCAAGGCGGGGTGAACACTCAGCTGTTCCTGGATGGCAAGGCTAAATAAAAGAGCACACTGTAACACACATCCATTGGGCTCTGGCATCTGCCTGTCTGCGTGCTCCTGCTTCCCTCAGGGGTTTAAACTGTGGGATGACTGAACAGGTGAGCCACACCCCTGTTGCTCATCATTCAAGGGGAATCAGGGAGCTCTCTTGTTTCAGCTGAAGGCTCGTCTGGGATAATCATCAGAAGAGTGGTTACAAATGTGAAATTGTTGGATGTGCCTCTTTTATAAGACCCTGTCACCCCTCTCTCTTTTC